CCGCCGGGCCTCCGGGACCACGGGATCTGCCAGCCGGGACTTGGGGTGTGTGAGTGTCTGAAGTTCTCGCCCGCCTGCCAGTCCCTTTGGTTATGGGGCGAGGACCACTGCAACAGGGCGCGGGGTGGGAGGAAGATGGAGGAAGCGCTGGACTTGAGGACAAATGGGAGAAGTGGGGGCTGGTGGGTGAGGCGGTGGGTGTCAGCCTTCACCCTTTAGGAAGAGCGCGGGCTTGGGGGTGACAGGCAGTCTGGCTGAAGTTGCTGTCATATAGGAAAGCAAAATCAGTGCTCCAGAGTAATAGGAGAGTGACTTCAGGGCCACAGATGCTAAAGATCAGGGGGAGCCAAAAAATATTCATTAGGTTTATGGATTGAAATCATTTCTCCGGCAGCATAAATCTGGAAATGTGGGTGACAAGCAGGTGGAAGGAACCTCTTTTCTTATTAAAGAAATGGAAACTGGAGTAAAGACCCATGGCCGGCGAAGACGGAGTCCCTTGGTTACTATAACACGTGTTGCAATTCTAGGGTTAGGGAATCCTAAGGCAGCTGTGAATCCTGTTACACTCGACCTATTGAACTCCTCACAGGTATCTGAGGTTATATTTCCATGTAAACCAACCCGAGATCTGACCTCAACTATCACGAATAACAGCAATAATAAGAACACAGGGAAATATGAAGAGTTGCAAATGAACAAGCCCATCCCATTAAAATAAAAATTAAAAAAAAGAGTGTCTTGCTAAGATCACTTCCTGGTAAAACCAAACAAGAGACCATTGCTAGGAGAATAAATTTCAATTGTTTACCTTGGAGGTGAAAAGTGACTCTACTTCCTCATCCTTCTATTTTGTCCCCTTGGGAACCCCACCGCAGTCCAAATGGTCGAAGTTGCTTTTGCTTTGGCACTTTGATAACTATGCTTATCCCATTCCTCCCTGCACAGCATCATCTGCCCAACCACCCTCACATACTAGTTGAAACCTGTCTATTGAAATTCTTTTAACCATTCTTGTCTTAGCTCAGATGCTTAAAAATTCCTCTCTAAATACCTCCTAGGTTTCCCTAACCAGAATGAGTCACTCAAGCACTTTGTGATTTGGGTCTATAGACAGCCCTTAGAGCATTGGTTTTGTGCTTAATATTTACCTGACTGACTCCTGTGTTCTGTGTAAAGCTCCTCCAACTTCCAAGCAGCCACCCATCCCCTCTGTCAGCGCTGTGTCTGTGTCTGAAATGAGTTGAACCTTTAACAGTGGGCTTCACGTGGAGCATGGTCTCCTCCACTGACATTCATTGTGAAGCATGAGTCTTCCTCTGAACTCCAGAAACAGAACTTCCTGAGAAAGTCTGGACCGTCCCCCTATGGGGTCCACAATTTAGGAAGATGACTCATGGCTTCCAACCTCGGTTATGGGAGAGCATAGCGTTGGGGGAACGAGGAGCCCAACTGCAGAGATTCCTATAGTTTTCTGCAAAGAGGTGCTTTGGAAAGTGCCTAGGAATTAGTGCTATACACCAAGTGAATAAGTATGCAGACTTTTTCAGAACAAAATGTGTGGATGGCATTCTTTTATCCTGCGGATCCCAAGTTTCCCATGACACTCAGGCAAGGTGAATCATGGAGGTTATTATGAGCACTAACATCTGGCAGGTGAATATTTTAACTTGCATCTGATCTTTTTTTCAGATTTATTAACATCAACATGGCCGTTTTCACTTTACAGATGAATGGATCCAGGTACAGACATTGTGGCCTTTTGGGTTTGCCCCTTGCATGGGTGTTGAAGCTGTGGGATGCAGCTAACGTCGGCATCTTCAGGTGAGCTTTTAGGCTAATTCACATTAAGCAGCATCGTCTCCCAGTTATAAGTGCGTTGAAATAAAACAGGAGCTACAGTGGACCAATGCTAATCTCTGGCAGAAAGGGTGCGTGGCACATGGCACTATGAAAAAGGAAGCAAGGTCCTGGCCAGGCAGCTCAGTAGGTTGGAGCGTCGTCCCTGTATACCGAGGTTTGATCCTGGTTCACCAGAAGTAACCAATGAATGCATGAATAGGTGGAACAACAAATTCATATTTCTCTCTCTCTTCCTCTCTTTAAAATCAACAAATAAAAATTAAAAAAAGAAAAATGAAGAGAATCTTGTTTTCTGGGAACTAAAAATGGATAGGCCCAATTATTTATTGCTCCTTCAACCTGTGAAGATGATACAAAGTTAGTTATAAATAATGCATCTAACCGTAGAAGGGATGAGCTATATGTTATGTGATTGTACATTAAAAACCTTTATGAGCGCGGCAAGAGACGCGTACACCAACAGCTGCTAAATTCAGAATCCTGGAGCAGTATCTTATTTTATGTAAAAGAAGAACAGTGCAGTCTACTGCTCTGGGGATTTTCTGCTATGTACAAAGATCTTAAATCTACATGAGATTTTACTCGTGATTTCAAAGCACTTATGAAAATCTGGTTTTTTTTATTTGAATATCTTTCAACCAAACTACCAGCCACACCACTTAAAACAGAGATGACGCTTTCTAGACTAGATTTCCCAAGGCAGGGCCTGCCTTCTTCCCTCTCTCCCTCCCTTTCTTCCTCCTTCTCCTTCTTCTTTTTTCATTCTTTAACAGCTAGACCAGAGCCTTGCACTTTGTGTTGAGTGCATGTTGAATATTGAACATGGAGTCTCACCCTTATTTTATGGCAGAAGAGGAACTAAGTCATAAACCTCTGAAGAGCAGAATCAGAAGCTCATTCTCTCCCAGCCGTGCTCAGAAACTTGTTACTGTAGGATCAGTGATTGGAGCTGTGTCTTGGGGTGACTTCACATGCCACCTAAGACTAGAAAGTCTGCCAACATGATAAGGAGAATCTCTGCAAGACTTGTATGTCTTAAGATCGGTAACTTCAAGTTCTGAGCCTCAGAGCCTAAGGTATATACTCCATTGTCTTATAGAGGGATAAAGTGCAAGCAGTTAAAACAAACCAAGATACTACATGACGTCCCTTGACTGAAATCTTTTGTCGATGATCTGTTGTATTGATTATCTGTTAATAATTGGGGCAAAGATGTCCAAGAACTAACTGCGGTTCATTCAGCAACTGAGCACGTGCAGATCTCTAGCCCACGGGCTTACAGAGAATGTGGGTGATTTCATTATTCCTCCCTTCACCCTGGCCCTTCCTTCGTATGGTTTTGGCTGGAGCTCAGATGCAGATTTCCTGAACCAATTACAAGGCAAGATATGTATTATAGTGATCCACGAGCTCTGCTAGGACCAGTGTTTGCCCCAGCATTTGGGGAGACGGCAGCTGTGATGGTACAGAAACAGACACCAAACTTAAGCTGCAAAATTTTTTTGCACAATTGACCAGCAGTCATAGGCCACACCAATAAGAAAGACAAAAACCACAGATTTAAAGTGGGCAGTAGAATGTGGAAATACTCTTTCTGCAATTGCTTTGAGTGCACAACATCTCACAGTGACAGGGATTTTGCCGGCAGAGCTGCCAATGAAGATGTGGCTGGGAGTCTTCCTTTAGTTCAGTGGTTCTCAACCTTCTGGTCCTTTAAATACAGTTCCTCATGTTGTGACCCAACCATAAAATTATTTTCATTGCTACTTCATAACTGTAATGTTGCTACTGTTATGAATCGTAATGTAAATATCTGATATGCAGGATGGTCTTAGGCGACCCCTGTGAAAGGGTCCTTCGACCGCCAAAGGGGTCGCGACCCACAGGTTGAGAACCGCTGCTTTAGTTGGTTTATTCAGCTCTACAGGAGCCTGTCTGACAGTAACCGGATTTTTAAAACTTTTAAAATACCAAAGCCAAGTTCTGAGGACAGAAGTTTCCCCAGAAGTCCACTACTAGTAAAACCTTGTATTTTTAAATGGGAAGCATTATTGCTACCACATCTGCTTATATACAGTTTTGCTCTTACCCGGAAGGACAATTTTAGACAAAGTGAAACTGACAAGGGGAGTAGAGATGGGGCTCTTTCTCTGTCCCCTCCCTGTCTTATACCAGTTTCTCAACCCCAAACCCCAGGGACATATGGCTCCTCAGAAAACATTTGACAGTGGAGAATGTGTTAATTGTCTCAGCTAGGGCATGGGGGACTGAGGGCATGTGGTGGGCAGGGCCAAGGATACCATTAAACATCCTCCAGCCCCATCCCCACCCCCAAGCAAAGAATTATTACTCCTGAGTTTGAAAAAAAACCCTGCCTTAGCCCACTGATTCTAACAATCCATGATATGCAAATTGTTGGTAATTGTTTGAATCAAGTCCTGAGGGCTTTCTGTCACCATTTTGTGATTAGTCCCAGAGTTGCTCTTACTCATGTATTAACACGTGGCTTTCTGTTGTTTATCAGATACTGGGTCCATACTCTTTGCTTGGTCAAAGACACTCCTAATACCAGCTTTTTCGCCTCATCTAAGAGCCTGGCGTAGGCGACCAGGCACAACTGGCAATAAATCAATTACTACAGAACAGTTTGGGAAGAAGTGACTTTAAGGTGATCAGGAATGACCTTCTGATGTTAAAAAAAAAAAAAAAAAGCAAACCCCTTCACACAAAGGCACACCTCGACCGCCTCTATTGTCAGAATTCTTTCCTGTAGGACAATGTTTTCAAATTAAAATCCTCGGACCCTCAGTATAGAAAAGCCCAGAGTTTTTGCTAAAAATGCCAATTTCTCAAATGGTTGAATACTCTGGGTGTGTATAACCCAGGAATCTGCGTCTTCCCAGTGCTCCTCAGA